GTGGGAAGGTGCCAATGGAACACAATTCATAAATACATCAAATGGTTTATTCAGAGATTGTCCGTGCTTTACCTACAAGATCAGATATCAAAGAACTACAGTATTCAGGTGCAAGATTTTCTAGAGGAGCAATAGCAAGACTTGGACAGTGACTCCAATCCCGGTATCCAACTCATAAATTCCAGATCCTGCTTCCCTATGAAAACTGGAAACCTGGTGGGTGGACATTAGGAAATGAACCGGTAAGTCTCTTCTCACTGTTAGACCATTATGATGAAGCACAACTACTAGATAACGCAGACCCTGATTACTTTGAACGATTCATAATTTATATAAGAGATGCTCCACCAGCTGCAGGAGGATGCAATGGGAAGCTAAATGATTGCCTGTATGAATGCCTGAAGCATATCTATGGTACATTCTCTAAAATGCCCAAAACAATCAAAAAGCCCGAGTATATAAAAAAGGCATTAGGTCTCAATCGTGATACTCCAGTTCCAGTGTCTTACATGGATAAAGTCGAACAACTTGCAAAAAGCCTTGCAATTAACATTGTAGGGAATTCCACTTGAATTTCCAAGAGTAAGTCTGACAGACGCACAACCCTCACCCTGTCAGAAGGCCACTACTCTCTCACATTAAATCCTGGAAGACTCCACCCCAGTAAATTGGATAGGAAACGTAATCTGCCCATTGTGTACCAAGAAGATGGGGTAAAAAATGTAGTAACAATATACAATGGTAAGACAGTTAAATCTCTTACAGTTGGACAGTTTCAGAAAGGTAAGAATTCTGATAGTTACTCCTTCATTCCTGTTGAGAAGAATCATAAAACTGGAATATATGAACGACAAAGAAGTTCAGTCTAGGGATTGACTTATCTTATCACAACTGGTCTTACAAGAGAACAGCTTTCTGGCTTTTCGAATGGTTTAGTGTAGGGGTTTCAGCTAATGATCCTCTTGATCCAGTCGAAGCAGAGTTGATAAGTGATGCAATGATGGGAGGGCTCATCTGGGCAAATAATGAGTGGAAGGGTTATGGCCGACAGTACGATATAACAAGTTTATATCCAAGTATCCAGCAATTGAATGCAAACTTTCCAATCAGATGGGGCAAATTCCAGACACTTTCAGACTTTGTTGACCACAGAGGTTATGCCTTGTATGGATTATTCCATGCTAAGGTAAGTGGGAATAACATTCTCTTCCGACAGAATAAGAGGGGAGTCTACACATTCATTGACCTACAACGTGCAAAGAAACTCAGTTTCAATATACAGTTAATACAGGATGGAAAGCCAAATGCCTTGATATATGACAGAGAAGCAAGAATCCCTGGGACTGTAATATTTGGTGAGTATGTCCACTTCCTCTTCAATATAAAGAACCAGGGTGGTATGGCCGGTCATGTTGCAAAGAGAGTCCTCAATATGTTATGGGGAGCACTCTGCCAGAGGAAATGCAATTACAAGACACTCAGCACAGATCAAACAGACCCATTCAAGTTTCTAGAAGGTCATACACTTGACTCCATTATACCAGTAGGATCTGACCAGTGGCGATTCCAGTTCACAAACCCAGGTAGTCTCTTCAAGGGGGAATATTCTAGGATCGCTCCATTCCTACTAGCAAGTGGACGTAAGACAACTTCAGAGTTATTAGAACCATATAAGGATAAAGTATGACGTATCCATACAGATGGATTTATTCTAGAGGAGCAGCCAGATAGTCCTACACTTATCGCTTGTCCAGAAAATGCGTCCAAAACATTGAAGGCTCTCAAATTTGAAACTGCAGGATACTGCCATGTGAAAAATGCAAACAAGGTTATCTGGATATGATTGCTAAGGATATGGTTGGGTTTGCAATAGGTATATTTTTTACTGACATACCGTGATGACATAATTGAATAAACTTATAAAACATGTAATCTTACGAGATACCCAAATGCAAAACACTGACAGATTGGGTAGACAAGACCATGAAAGTTTTCACACGTGAGTGCAATATTATGAGACTTGTAGTAGAATAAGAATTCATGAATGGCCACCCTATCCAAGTTCTCGTCAAGATGTATCTGCTTATATTGCTCACATTAGGAGAATAGTATCACGATTACCAAATAGGTGGTACTGTACCTACTGTAAATCTTTTATTGATCGTGGATGGGGAGATGACTCTTCTATGGATCAAGCAGTACAACTACATTTATATAGTTGTCCAAAGCATTTTAAATTTGACTATTATACTCATCATGCTGAAATGATCCAGAAGGCCTTTAGGAGATACATAAAAAGAAGGAACAACAGAGTGGCTAGGATCATCCAGAAAGTTGCTATCCCCTGGTTGTATAGACCAGGTTTTCCATTGATACAGAAGGCTGAGCGACACTTCTACCACCTTGCAGTATTTCAAATGTGAATAACCGCCGAAGAAAGATTTATAAACAGGTAACTGAAGATTTATATTTTTTACAAAGTACAAGGAATCATGTCAACATATACTGAATTTACAAGCATTGTTAATATTTATTTTATTTATTATTTATTTTATGTGAAACCGGCGGGGGATATTCAAATGAGCATGATTCCTAAGTAATAAAACCTAAGTAATACAACCCAACTTAAGCCTACCATCGATTTCCGGAGGAGCCGGAAGCCAACCCGAGCTAATTGGAAAAAAGTGACCTGTACCACTACCACGTCCGGTAAAAGGCCAGGTGAACGCACTGGGTAAAAAATAGGAGCGGGAAAAAAAGTGGAGAGGACAAGTCCCCTTTCCAAGAAGTTGTGGTGCTAAACATAAATCTATTCTATCCTAAAAAATAATACAATTCTGAAATTCGTAAAACCGCTAATAAAAGCGTAGGCTAAACTAGTTTCTGTAATAAAGTTAAAATCTCTGCTAAAACCGCCTTGTTATCTTTATTACCACCCTTTTTCTTCGAGGTATTCTTTGCCTTCTTCTGATTCTTCGGGTGTTTCTCCTCCTGGTTATTATTTTTCGGGACTTTCTTCGAGGATGAAGGTTTATCCTTCTTCTTAGGCTGATTACGATCCAAATTCTTATCAGACTTACCTGATTTTTTCGGATTCGGTGTATTTTTAGCCTTCGGTTTGTTTTGTGCTTTCTTCAAGGTAGGAATGGAGTGTCGACACCATTTCAACTCCTTACCATCAGGTACGAAAAACTGTGGCGTATCTAAGGCCCTTAGTGTGGTCTCCCAATTCTCGAAATAGGCCACAAGTTTCCTCCTTCCTTTGCTTGTTTGAATAATTTTAAATGAGCTAGCACCGCACTTCATTAAAAATTCACATGGTTTACGGTCCATCCACAAGGTAGCCATCGTCATATCCTCCGGAATGTCATGAATAACGGCTTGGAACTTTTCACGTTGTTTTCTTTCTCGTAAAGTCCAACTCGCAGGGAACCATCTAACGGGTATGCCTCCCAGGTCTGTCGTCCAATATTTATTAAACTGGGGAAGGGCAAATGAGGAAAGTGCTATTTTGACTCGAAGAGTCTGATACTTATGTTGCCGTTTAACGGAACATTTAATAGCGTTCCCCCAAAATTTTAACTCTGCTATTATTTTCTGCAGGTTCCAGGTATACGGGATATCGTAAACTATGATGTCTCGGATTCGCTCTTGCTCCTCTCCGACAGCTTCGTATCCAGTCAGTATCTGTGTTGCCTCCGGTTCGGATGATTTCTTTCCCTTTTGGGAATTTTGGGCTGATGTTTTCACATCAGGTTTTGCCTTTGTTGATTGGTTCGCGACTTGTTTATCATCTGTAACACGCGCCTTTTGTTTATCTTTCTTCCGGGAATTTTCGGGTATCACAGTTTGATCAACAGGGGTCATTACTATATCGGGCATTGATGGAAGCTTGATAGGTACTGGTTTTGGTGGCATTTGAAATCCTCGGCGTAATAATTCTTCTTCATCGGGCTCAAGCGGAAATGACTCATCCATTAGATAATCAGCAGTATCCTGAGAACCATCGTCATCGTCATCATCATCATTACCTGTATCGCCAAAATTGAGATAGAATTGGGTAGAAAAATTATCCCAAGACTTGGACGCAGAATATAGCGCTATAGAAAATATTAGCGAAAGGGTAGTGGGTTGTATATTCGTAGCTTGAGCTTGTGAAGTGAAGTTCGCAGGGTTGGCTGTTTCGCCAAACCGCTCTATCAGTATCTGGGCTTTATCCTTAGGTACTGAAGGGTTTTTTTCAAATAAGTCCTTAAGAAAACCGTCTGTAACAAAAGAACTTAAGTTGTGTGTAAAAGTTTGAAAATAAATTTCGTTAAACATAGAAACGAAGTCTAAAGCTTCTTCGTTTGGTGTTCGGCTCTTATCCATAGACATTTTTATATTTATGTAATAAAATTTAATAAAGGGAATATTTTTTAAAAAAAATTATTACGCAGAAATTTTCGTAAAAAATGTATTCGGGAAAGAGTTTTTAAGTTATTCACTTACATTCCAAGCATTGTTAATAGCATTGACAGCACTAGTGAGGAAGTAATCTATAAGGCATCACATGTTATCTCTTATGACACTGTCCTCAGGATTATCCATGCATTGAAAGACACTATAGTAGTTGAATTAATATCTGGGTTTAGTAAAACTAGCTAAATTCAGATGGCAAAGTCTCCTGTATCATACATGAAGTTTGTGGCCAGAAAACTCTTTCCAGATAATGCAGCATATACTGCTAAGATAGCAAAGATTCGTGAATCATACAAGAATAAACAAGATCTCCTGGACAAGCTTGAGGCCCTCTTCGAGTTGTATTATAATGTGACTAAGGACTCATCAACAGGTCCCCCAAAGTGTAATGTCACTATGAATGAGGCTGAGAATACCTTAGCAGAACTTCTTGCATAAGCAGCCCCTGACCTCCTGTACAAATTTAGTTTATATTTTTTATTTGTGTGTAATAAGTATATGGTAATTGAAGATAGCTATAGTGTAAGTAACATAACATCATGTTGGACCAGTTACCAGTAGAAATAGTTGAACGTATTGTTGCAAAAATCCCAGATACTGATCTTATTGCAGCAAGTAAGGTAGATAGTGTGTGGTGGCAGGAGGTTCGTGAATGTGTACTGGGAAATCCAAGCTATTGGAAAGCAGTATAACATTTGAAGATGTAAATGACTCCTATAAAAGATGGATAGACTGCCTTACCGAGAATCAGCTTTATATTATGGAGAAAATGCTTAGGAATGGAATGGTTGTAGATTCCCAAGAGAGGGAAACCATAGAGTATGCATTAAGTGAAAGTAGATGGGGAGGCGATCCTTGGGGATTGGACTGGAAGTGGAATGAGTGGACTCAACAGGAGTAAGCATTTTGTACTTGCAGATTTATATTTTTTATATTATAAGTGCAAACCCACCAGACACCTTTCGTACGTCTGTTGGATGTCACGTGTATAGATCCGGCCGGCATTACCGCGTAATCCCGAATTACCGAAAAAGGAAATTTATGTTACACAAGATTACAAATATCAGATTCTTAGAGTCAAAATAGTTTTAAACTCATTTACCCTTTCCCAATTTAATAAGTTCTGGATGACTGATCTGGGAGGTATACCTGTGAGATGGTTTCCCGCAAGTTGGACTCTCTGTAAAAGAAACAATGAGAGAAGTTCCAAGCTGTCATTCATGATATTCTGGAAGAAATGACGATAGCTACCTTGTGGAATGACCGTAAACTGACAGCATTTTTAACGTTGTGCGGTGCTAGCACTTTTAAAATTATACAAACAAGCAAAGGAAAGAGGAAACTTGTAGCCTTAAATACTCCTCAAGTTTTCCTTAATACTAATAAGGAGTTGAAATGGTGTCAACACTCTGTTCCTACCTTGAAGAAAAAGCACAAGCAGAAGGCTAAAAATACTCCGAACAAAAAGTCCGAATTCTCAGAAGAAGGCAAAGAAATCCTCAAAGAGTAAGGGTGGTAATAAAGGTAACAATGAGGTTTTAGCAGAGATTTTAACTTTATTATGTAAATTAAATTAGTCTAGGTTTCTTTATGGTTCGCATTTTTAGCAGCAGAATATTTTTTACTTTTTATTTCACTTTATAAGCCTTTGGCTTTAGAGGGGGCTTGCCCCAGTTGACTCCTTAAATTTTACCCAGTGCGTATGGGTTAGACTAGGCTATACATGGGGCGAATTAGGATAAGACAATGCCGAATTATTACGGTAGCGAAATGATTACACTGCCGTAATGTCGAAATAAATTACACCGCCGTAATGCCGTAATGCCGTAATGCCAAATTGCCAAATTGCCAAATTGCCAAATTGTCGAATTGCCGAATTGCCGAATTGTCGAATTGTCGAATTGTCGAATTGCCGAATTGCCGAATTGCCGAATTGCCGAATTGTTGAATTGTCGAATTGCTGTAGTGTTAAACAAAATACACTGCCGCAATGCTAAATTGTAAATTAAATACTTACAATGTATGAATTATTTTATTTTTATTAATATTTATAACACCCATTTATTAGCATTTATTAACTATTTATAATAAACAATAAAATCCCAAAAAAACTATAATTGCTAACTAAATTTTATTATTTAAACGGTTAACATTAGCAAGAATATCATCTACACTAAACTCTAAATCACCATGATCAACCTCTTCCAGCTCAATATCTTCTCTATTTACATTATTCAATTTAATTAAATTTCCAACTAATAAATTTGAATCATCTTCATTTAATTGATCATTATTTTCTTCTTCCTCTTTAGGTATTAAATTTTCAAAAGGGTCATTATCATCATTGTCATCATTTATTTCAAACATATCTGAATCAAGTGTAAGTGATTTGGCATAATCCTGCATTATTTGATTAAAAGCATCTTCAGATAGATTTTTGCCAGCATAATTAAGTTCTTGCTGTGCAATTTGATATATAAAATGAATGCAATCGAGCCATATTAGATACTTTTTCTACTTTAAGTCTAATGAAAGAAAAAAATTTATAATTTAGATTATTAAAATTTAACAGTTAATTGAGCAAACAAATATTATAAATATACATACCTGCTTCATCTTTTTTGTGTAAACCAATTTAATATAGAAAAAACACTTTCACAGCTTGCACTATTGGGAACAATAGAAAGAATATATAAAGCTAATTCTTGCAAATAATGATTGGATTGTTTACATCCTAGCCACCATGATGAGGAAGTTTGAAGTTCATCAACGTAAGTAAAATTATAAGGAGATTTATAATTATCATAATCATTCATTTGAATTGCAAGTGCTAATGCTGAATTAGAACCTCCACCAATTTTTTGCCATAAAGTTAATGCTTTTCTTTGAATTATTTGATATGTTTCAGGTATTAAACCCTTTCCACGATACTTGGGATGTAAAAAATAAGCTAGTAAGTATAATTCAAAATCAAATTGTTTCCATCTATAATTATAAAATTGGATACATTTTTGACGAAATTCTTTCAATTCCTCTGAAGTTTCAGTAGGTAAAGCTTTAATTGAAATGGCCATTTGAATAAGCGCAAAAAAAACATCTGCCATGGTTGTATTTTTGCATTCAACGCTTTTTACAGCATTTTTTGCAGGTTCCAAAATGTTTGCAAGAGCTTCAACATTTGACCAAAAATTTTGATTATTTACCAAGATTCGTAAGGATTGATTCATTGCTTTTGAATTATCAATCAACATCTAATAATGTAAATATAAAGATTTTATTTAATCCAATTTTTTAATTTAATTTAATTTTAAATTTAAATTAACTTACATTTTTAAAAACAGTTTCTAAACGTAAAACTGATGAACAGCAATCCCATGCAGTACTCCATCGTGTTTTGACAGAACTCTTTAATCCACCACCAACAATTAATTCTTTTTTGATTTCTTCACGAAGAATAGCTCCAGACTGGTGTGATTCAGTGAAATATGTCACAAATTTTTGACAATTCATTAGTATATTTTTTGACAATGGGATCTTTTTCATAATATCAGTACATATTAATTGAATGTGGTGAGCAATACATCGAACTGGCATAATTCTAGGATACTCATCCGAAATTAATCGCTTAGCCAATTGCATAGCACTAGCACCATCTGATACTACTGAAGAAAAACGTTGTGGACCTATGTCTGTAAGAATTTTCTTTATTTCTTGAGCAGTAAAAAGACCAGTATGTGAGTCTTTAGAATAATCCTTGACTTTAATTACATATTCTTTTCTTTCAGTAGTAATGACTACAAAAGAAAAGTAAGAATGATGGTTGCTACTGTTTCAGCTATCTAATACTTTAGAATTAAAATTAAATGTTAATAATTTATTATATTTTCTTTTTTAGTACTAATATCCAAAAAAATTTACCTAAAGAAAGATTTTCTTGTCTCTCGAGTATTTCCTCCACATTAACAGTAACTCTTACTGCCTCATTATTAAGCCAAGTATTACTTAATGTCTTTCTATCTGGAAGCTGATAACCAGCACATAAATTCTTTACTAAATCAATAAAAAATGGACTTTCTACAATTGAAAAAGGAACGCCACAACAAACAAAAAATCTGGTTAACGCTTTGTTACAAAGATTTCGTTGTCCAGGATCAATTGATGATTTTTGTAGTTTAGATGTGATTTTTGGTTGAATTCCAGATGCAATCTCTTCATCAAGCTTTCGTTTCTTTGTAGTAGATTTCTCAGAAGATTGGTCACAAGATTCTGAAAGAATTTTAAGATACTGTTTTTTCACATCAGCCTCAACACTTTCACATTGTAATGCTAAATGCGCCATCATATCTGGAACTCTGCCTCTATTCCAAGCATCTCCACAATACATACAAACACAGGCTGAATGACCAGCTTTTCTACTTTCTTCTTCAATAAAATAATTCCATACTCCGTTCTTTTTTTTGCCAGGCTTTTTTGGTTCAAAGTGTTTTGGTTCAATATCATCAAGCTCATTTTCAAGATCAAGCGGTTTTAAAAAAGTATCCATTGCATCAAAGTTATTAGCCATATTTTTTAGAAAAATAGTGTAAACGTGTAATGGATTTTTTTTTTGATTTTTTTTTTGATTTCGGTAAATGATAATCGATTAATTTGACCAATCAGATAATAGGGGTTGAAAAAAAAAGCATCCCGTAATTTCAAATAAATGTATCATATGAAAGAATTATTCCTTAAATTTACATTTTTTAAATAAAAATTATAAAGCTAAATAAATTTTTATTACAAAAAAAAGTATATTTCTCTTCAAGCAACTCCAATTTTTAATACAATTTTATAAGTTTTACAAATTGGAAATTGGTTACTTTATTATTAAAACACAAACCTGTAAATTAAAGTTGCACCGAAAAATATCTTAAAAAAAAAAAAGTTCCCTTCCGAACCATCTCAAGTAAAAATAAGAAAAGCCTCAAATCTAAAAATACTAGCAATTTTGTATAAATTTTTAAGTTATTGTCTTATAGGATTTCTCTCTATTTACTTGGAAAGTAATATCAACCTACTTTATACTAAAGGTCACTTCAAGAGAAACCAAAGTGCTATCACTAAAAAAGAGAAAAAATGAACGTTAAATAACATTCCTAAATGAAATTAATTAACTTCACATCAAACCTACCTAATTTCAAGAACCGTTTCAAGTAAGGCTGACGAAACCTAATCAGGATTTCGCGAAATGTCAAAATCTCAGTTTAAACTATAGAGAAATATTTCATCAATTGTGACACTTAAATATATGGCAAAACTCCAATGGTCTTCAACTAGCCAATTTTTCGTTGGAAATTGTTCATTTCATTGCATCTATTGTTGAGTTATCCATTACAGTTTGTCAGGTTTGTGATGGCTATTCCTAAATAAAGAAGAAAAGAAAACATTAATAAATGTTTCTTAAACAGAATTCTGAACTCCCCTCCCAAAAACTTACATATTCCAGTTCGTAAGGTTCGTAATAGCTGTTCCTTAAATATAGAAGAAAAGGAAATGTTTAGCAACATTTCTATAATAAATTTTTTTAAAAAGCTCCCTCTCCCTCTCCTCTATACCGTTCATTCCACACACAAGTCCAAGCCAGCCTCCTTTATACAGCCATACCGTTCAGTTCAGGTCAGAATCTAAAAAAAAGGAAGAGAAACATTATTAAATGTTTCTATATAGTAAATTTTAAAAAAACACTTTACCAAGTCAAGTCCGATGCGTCATCCTTTTAAAGTTCCTGCCAAACTGCCAAAGTAGTTCCTGGAAGAAAATCCACGTCAGTTCCTAGAAAAAAAAATAAGATAAAATAAAATACAATAAAATAAAATAGAAAATAGTAAAAATATAAATAAAGTAAAGAAACTTACCATTATGACCGTTATCTAGAAACTTAAAAGAATTATAAGCAGTAAAGTCATGAAAGACTTTTTGGGTTATTTCTAAGGAAAAAAAAGATATAACGATAATAAAAAAATTTACTGAACCAATCGGAAATTTTATGGAGCAAGTGGCTGTGCATGCGCAATTTTTATTTTCTTTGTTAAATTAAAGTTAGTTCTGTACTTCTGTTAGTCGTACATATGACTACAAATGGAAAAAAAACATCAGCAAATCCTATTCGGCATTACGGCATTATGGCATTATGGCATTACGGCAATTCGGCATTACGGCGGCGTAATTCATTTTGACATGGGTTGTTTGAATCGATGTTGGTGTAATATATTACGCCACCATAATGCTGAATTGGTGAAATATCAGGGGTAATTATGCCCCCATGTATAGACTAGGCTAAGGTTGCTGGAGAAACTAGGGGTTTTGGTGAAGCAATTAGAAACTTAACTACTATTAGAATATCTATTGGATAGGGAGCAGTGATTTACATTGGAAGATGCAAGTTGACGAAATGCCAAAATAGTGAAACTTTGCCAAAACTATATGAAAGTCTTATTAAAAAGTTAGCAAAACTTTGGAGAACAGAGAAAT